ACCTACTATAATTATTTCCTAATTCATAGAAGAATTAATTAACTTTTATTTAATTTTATTAATAGAATTAAAATAAAATTAAAATAATTTTGGTTCTTCTTCCTTGACCTTCTTTTTTGTTTAAATTATTAAAATAAACTATAATTATTTCCTAATTGATTCTTCCATGATTAAATTCTGTTTAATAAAATTAAATAAAAGTTAATTGATTTTTCCATGAATTAGGAAATCATTATAGTAGGTGAGATTTGATTTAATAAAATTAAATAATAGTTAATTTATTTCTAAATAATAGTTAATTTATTTCTTTATAAATTAAGAGTTACTTATGGTCTATGGAGGACTAATTAAATGGGAAAATATATTAATTGTTTTAATTTTTAAATATAAATAAAGTAAAATTAAGAATTAAAGTAGTTTTTTAAGTTATTTAAAATTAAAAAAATCCACGTAATCATCTTTTACATGATGGATTTTTCACCTAATATTGAAAATGTAAAATAGTCGATCACGTAACGGAAAAATTAGTTACATCAGCATTTAACTAACGAAAAGACGAAATTGGTGCTAAAAATTGAAGTTGAAGGATGTTTTCGATACTTTCTGAAGTTCAAGCATGAATTGGTTCAAAAATAAAAGTTGAGGGACCAATTTAAGTATTTAACTTAAAAAAATATGTTAGCTAAGTCAGTATCACCGTCCAATTAATCCTTAAATAAAAAAAATTAAAAGTTAACATCTTTATTTAAAAAAAAATTGAAAGTTGATATCTGTATTTAGAAATTGATAAAGTTAATATCATTAAATAAAAAAAAGTATAAAATTTTTTTTTGATAGAAAATAGAGAATTATATTAAATATAAAGAGATTACAGATGAATCTCAAGCAGGCATTATAGCCAAATTAAGGACAGAAGCGTAACCTACAGCATTAATAACAGATTTAAACTGTACCCATGACATATATGGACAATTAAGCGAAGAGGGCCATCTGTGACTAAAGATTGTAGCTACAATCGCTATAAGGGCAAAAATAGGGCTACAAAAGTAGAAAAAGAGGTCGCTATGAGTGTCTGAAACTACTGGACGTCTTCCCCTATTTAGCCAGCTTCACGGGGAGAGTAGGAAAAATTCGACATCAACAGTCCCCAACCCACTATATGTCATCCCTAAAACAGTTTCAGTCAATAGGAGGGCCATGCTCCTCCATACAAACCCAGGCAACTCCCTTGTCGCCATGGGCTTCCAACCATGCCCTAACTATTCCAATCCTTTGCAAGCCCTTGTTGCCAAATTTCAATAAGGGAACTAGAGCCCCTTTTGAGACTGAAGTGGCATTCTCGCCCGTAGCGACTTCACCAACCTCATCCTTTTCCTTTGGCTTACGACCAAAAAAACCAATCAGCCTCCAATGACTACCACTTGGATACCCTAGATCTAAGCAAAACAGAGGCATGGCAATACTGAAATTCCAAGCATCTTCCTGTTTCCAAACCATATGCAGTGGGAGAATTCCATCTTCGTTCTCTGCAATCCGAATCCGATTGAGCATAGAACCCAATTCATCTACTGCCATGATCGAGATGGAGGTTCAATGACAAAACAGGGCAGTTTTGCAGAGATCTAGCACGCTCCGCCCAAGTTGCGAAACAGAGCAAAATTACAGAGATCTGGAAACGCCCCCCGCGATTTGCAGAAACAAAAGTTGAGAAAAGGCACCAGATTTATGACGCCCCAATTAGAAACGGCCAAAGACCACAAATCAAAGGCTCGACGCAGAAACGGAAGAGAAAGTAGAGGAGCTCCGCTGCTGGAAAGGGTTCCTGAAGGAAGAGGGCCGCCGACTCCAAACCCTAGCCGAAGGAGTTTGGAGCACGAGAGAGGAGGGGTTTTTAAAATTAGGTATATTCCGTATGCTAAAAAAAAAAAAAGTATAAAATTGATATCTTTATTTATACCTTTATTCAAAAAATACATGTAAGCAAACACAAGTATGTCACCAAATAATAAATGTAAGATATGACTGCTTATTGGAGAAATGGTAGCAGTATGTAGCGTTTTCTTTAAAAAAAAAAAAATTAGGCTTTTATATTAAAAATTTTAAATTTAAATTTTAATATGGATGAAGACAATTATTTTTTTTGTAATATAATTTATTTATCGATTTTTTTTGGTACATCAGAAGCTATAACTTCAGCTCACGTCCTAAGGAACCTGGTCCCTGGTCCCTATGTCTCACTAGGCAGTTGCTAAAGGAATCTATCAACAAGAAGATGTCAGTGAGAAGCACGGAGGCTGGGCCGGCTGAAATTTGCTGATTTTGAATGAGTTGAATTGCCAGTAGAGAGTCCATTTCTAAGACTAACTGCTGTATCCCCAGAGATATAGCAAGCTTGAGGCCTTCTCTACAGCCCCATAACTCAGCCAAGAAACTTGTTGTGATACCAACATTGACAGCAAACCCATGAAACCAACGCCCATTATGATCGCGAATGAGTCCTCCGGCTGCCGCCTTGTCTGAGTGATGATTGTATGAACCATCAGTATTGAGTTTAAGGTAAAGGTGTGATGGAGGGGTCCAAGAGACCCATCTAGGGGCTCTAGCGGCATGAGACCTGGTAGTTTCCAATGCAAATCTCATTTCCAAGGCAAAGTTATGAGCCTGGCTAGCGACCATATGAGGCAGGCGCCGTTGCCCCTCAAACACCAATCGGTTTCTGCTCTTCCACAAGTGCCAGATGGTTGCAAGGAAGACATACGGCCATAAATCTGGAGAGCTGTTCCCTAACCTTGAGATAGTAGCATTCTTTTTCAACCAGGACTCAAAATTCAGATAAAAGAAGTCAGTGGGAAGAAGGCTCGCCGACTCCCAAACCAGTCGTGAATGAAAACAATCCCTCAAGAGGTGTAAAGGGGTTTCGGGTGCTTGTTCGCAATGGGGACACACTGGCGTAAAGGCCATATGGCGCTCAAAGCGAACTGAGTTTGTGAGAACTTTTCCTCTCCAAAGTAGCCAAACAAAGAGCTTCACCCTTTCTGTGCAGCATAACTTCCAAATCCATGTCCATTCCTCTGAGCTAGGAATACTGGTGAGTCTGGATTGTTGAATGAGGCTAAAAGCTGACTTAACCATGAAGTCCCCGTGGGGGGAATCATGCCAATAAAGCTGATCGTCTAAGTGGCTTGTTATTGGTAACGGGATGGCTACAATCATCCGAAGCACATTCTCTGGAAGAAACTCTATTAATGGTAACAAATTCCATTCTGAGTTGCTAATGATATCTGTTACTATCATACCGAGAAGGTGGTGTGGCACCGGAGCTATTGTTAAGTCAAGAAGTTTTGAGGTACCTGCCCAGATGTCATTCCAAAGCTGTATGTTGGATCCAGATCCAACTCGCCACCGTGCCCCCAACTGTAGGACATCTCTGGTTTTTAAGATACTTCGCCACGTTACTGATGAAGAAGGCATGGGCTTGCAATTAAAGAAGCTATCAACATGAAGATACTTCTGTTTGATAGCCTGACACCATGGTTTCCCACTCCCTGAAAGTATTTGCCATCCTAATTTAGCAATCAAAGCCTTGTTACACTCCCGGGCATATCTCACTCCTAGCCCACCATATTTTCTTGGCAAACAAACATCATTCCAATGAACCAAGTGTGGTCTGTTGGCTTGTACGTCGGAACCCCAAAGAAATTTGCGATTCAAAGAATCAATAGCTGAGCATGTGGCACTAGGGAGGAGAACTGTTTGCATGGTGTACGTTGGAATCGAGGAGGTTATTGATTGCACTAGTGTTCTCCTGCCTGCCAGACTAAGGAAATTTTACTTCCACCCTACAAGTTTAATTTGCATCTTTTCAAGAATGTATTTATAGCTACTGGCTTTGAACCTACCATGGATAATGGGCACCCCAAGGTAAATGCCAAGATCATTTGTTAAAGGAATACCACAAGCAGAGCTGAAAGAGTTTGCTAACTGCCCTTGGATATTCGGAGAAACAAATAGCTTAGACTTTTTTAAGTTTATCTCCAAGCCTGATCTTTTTGCAAATTCATCAAGGCAGGCCATGATAGTGTCAATTTGAGTGGTTGATGCTGTGCCAAACAACATGAGATCAT